AACATTCAGGGCAACTATTGAGAGATATGAAGTTAGTGCCATTGTATTGCCTGTAAGGTGACTGTTATTGTATATTGCCTCTGTTCCTTTCTGATCTACTACTTTTAGGGTCTCTTTTTGCTTAGAGGACCCCTTTCAATATTTCCTGTAGAGCTGGTTTGGTGTTTGCAAATTCTCTCAGTTTTTGTTTGTCCTGGAAGCTTTTAATCTCTCCTCCTATTTTCAATGATAGCCTAGCTGGATATAGTATTCTTGGCTGCATGTTTTTCTCGTTTAATGCTCTGAATATATCATGCCAGCTCTTTCTGGCCTGCCAGGTCTCTGTGGATAAGTCTGCTGCCAATCTAATATTTTTACCATTGTATGTTACAGACTTCTTTTCCCGGGCTGCTTTCAGGATTTTCTCTTTGTCACTATTCTTGTAAATTTTACTATTAGGTGACGGGGTGTGGACCTATTCTTATTGATTTTGAGGGGGGTTCTCTGAACCTCCTGGATTTTGATGCTTGTTCCCTTTGCCATATTGGGGAAATTCTTTCCAATAATTCTCTCCAATATACCTTCTGCTCCCCTCTCTCTTTCTTCTTCTGGAATCCCAATTATTCTAATGTGGTTTCGTCTTATGATGTCACTTATCTCTCGAATTCTGCCCTCGTGGTCCAGTAGTTGTTTGTCCCTCTTTTGCTTAGCTTCTTTATTCTCTGTCATTTGGTCTTCTATATCGCTAATTCTTTCTTCTTCCTCATTTATCCTAGCAGTGAGAGCCTCCATTTTTGATTGCACCTCATACTAGCTTTTTGATTTCAACTTGGTTAGATTTTAGTTCTTTTATTTCTCCAGAAAGGGCTTTTATATCTCCCGAGAGGGTTTCTCTAATATCTTCCATGCCTTTTTCGAGCCCAGCTAAAACCTTGAGAATCATCATTCTGAACTCTAGATCAGACATATTACCAATGTCTGTATTGATTAGGTCCCTAGCCTTTGGGGTACTGCCTCTTGTTCTTTTTTTTGTGGTGAGTTTTTCTGCCTTGTCATTTTGTCCAGATAAGAGTATATGAAGGAGCAAGTAAAATACTAAAAGGGTGGCAAGAACCACAGGAAAATATGCTTTAACCAAATCAGAAGAGATCCCAAATCGTGAGGGGGGAGAAAGGGGATAAAAAGAGGTTCAGAAAGAAAAAGAAAAAAGAATCAAAAGAAGAAAACGAATAAAGAAAAAATATAAAAAGGAAAAAAATATGTATATATTAGATAAACTAGTTAAAAAACTTTAAAAAAGAAAAGGGTAAAAGTTAAAAAAATTTATCAGAAGAAGAGAGAAAAATTGAAAAAGAAAAAAAATTAAATTAACTGTAAGGCTAAAGAATCATGGGGAGAAAGCCATGAGCTCAGTGCTTTGCTTTCTCCTCCTCTGGAATTCCGCTGCTCTCCTTGGTATTGAAACTGCACTCCTGGGTAGGTGAACTTGGTCCTGGCTGGATTTCTTGTTGATCTTCTGGGGGAGGGGCCTGTTGTAGTGATTCTCAAGTGTCTTTGCCCCCGGTGGAGTTGCACCGCCCTTACCAGGGGCCGTGCTGAGTAATCCGCTTCCCTGAGCGCTTTCTGTAGAGTTCCAGAGGACGGGAATGAAGATGGCGGCCTCCCAGTCTCCGGCCCGGAGAAGCCGAGAGCCCGGGGCCCCATTCCTCAGTGCGCCCTCAGAGAACAGCGCCCAATTACTCCCGTCACCCTGGCCTCCGGCCGCGCTCCAAGCTGACCGAGCCTGCGACCGGTTCAAGGTAACCCCGAGCTGTGAGCTCACTCCTTGGCTCTGTCTCTGTAGCCAGCTTCCCCGTTCTAATACCTGTAAGCTCTGTGACACTCAGACACCCCCCATCCTTCTGTGACCTGAGGCCATGCTGGACCTGAGGCCATGCTGACCCCGCGTGGGCTTCACCCCAGTTAAGCCTCTGGAGCGATGGGAACAGACTTTTAAAAGTCCTGATTTTGTGCTCTGTTGCTCCGCCACTTGCCGGGAGCCGGCCCCTCCCCCTGCGATCTATCTTCTCGTTGCTTTGGATTCACTTTTCCGCCAGTCCTACCTTTCAGAAAGTGGTTGATTTTCTGTTTCTAGAATTGCTGATCTTCTTCTCTTCGATCTCCCATTGGATTTGTAGGTGTTTGCAATCTTTAGATAAGCTCTCTAGCTGATTTCCCGCTACCTGAAGTAGTCTCAGCCTGCTACTTCTCCGCCATCTTGACTCTTTCCAGCAATCATGTTTTTAATTTTAAGGGGTAATTTCACAGCATCATAGTCTGTTATGGTTGCAAATTTTTTCCCAACATTTTCTTTCTTTCTGTTCCTTGCGTTTTGTGGGTTTTTTCAATGTTAATTTGTTTTCACATCTATTTATTTTAGTCTTTTGCATTTTGAAGTCTTTCTTCTTTTTTAAGTCCTAGTTGTCCATTCCTAGAGTGAGGATGAAGCACTAAAAGATCAGCGGTCCTATAGGATTACTTGGAGCTTGCAGATAAGCGGACTCCATTTATAGAGTTTGGGTGGAAGCTTGCTATTTGTTTGGGGAACTCCAAAAATTTTAATATAGGAAGAGATCTTTTCTTGGGGCCATTTAGAGAAGAGTTCTCCACTCTCCTGCCTGGAGCTCCTGCATTGATGGAGTGGGTTAGTTAAGCAGTAATTTGCCTTTCTTATGCAAGTTTTCAATTCCTTTAACATTATAGCCCCATTGCTACTCTCCCCAATGACTAGTGCCTCTGAGCTTCCAGCATCTCTGGGATTTTAAGACAATTGTCTGTTTTTTCCATTCACTTTTATGTTTCCTTTTCTGCTTTTCATTTCCCAAAAATACAGGACATTTTGGGCTGTCTCCATTCTCTTTGTCTTTGGCTGTTTGAATCATTTTCTCCTTCAGTATGATGATGTTGGGCTTTCAAGAGGGAACGGAGATAGATGCTTTTGATCATTTTTAAGGGAAAGTTTGCCTTTAAGCTTCATGGCTCTGTTTTCCTTTATATTTGTTTTATATCATTTTTATCACATAATTGATTAGGTTCAGAGGTAAAACTATTTCTTGAGTTTTAAATAGGTAAACTTTGGAGGTGCTTGGGTGGCTCAGTTGGTTAAGCGTCCGACTCTGGATTTCAGCTCAGGTCATGATCTCACAGTTGTGAGATTGAGCCCCACATGGGGCTCCCTGCTCAGTGTGGAGTCTCAGCTTGAGATTCTCTCTCTCTTCTGCCCCTCCACCTTCCTCCACTCGTGCTCTCTTTCTCAAAATAAATAAAATCTTTAAAAGAAAACAAATAGGAAAACCTTGTTTAATAATTTTCTTGAATTATTTCAATCAAAAGGACTTTTAATGTCTTCTAACTTTACTATTTCTTCTTTTCTTCTTGCCAGTCTGTTCACATTTTCAGATTACATCTATATATCATATACTGAGTTTTCAAATAATATTTAAGGAAAGGAAAATATCTGTCTAAAATACCTGGTAATATCCAGCTTTTTCTGTTGGTGCTTGAAACAGTTTAATTTTTTAGTAAATCCTCTTTAATACTGTGCTCTGAATTTGTTTACTACTTGTTGGTCTTTATTTCACTCTCTGACTTATAGTTGTAGGGTACTATTCAGATTCTAAATCTAAATATGCAGTCAATTTCTAACCTGAAAGGTACCTGCTTTTTAAAAAATTTATTCAGAAGTTCATTTCAGTGTTTAAAACTCTGTAGTAGGGACACCTGGGTGGCTCGGTTGGACGTCTGCCTTTGGCTTAGGTCATGATCCCGCAGTCTAGGATCGAGTCCCACATTGGGCTCCTTGCTCAGCGGGGCGCCTGCTTCTCCCTCTGTCTGCTGCTACCCCTGCTTGTGTGCACGCTCTCTGTCTCTCTCTCTGACAAATGAATATATAAAATCTTAAAATTAAAATTAAAAAAATAAAACTCAATAGTAATCAGTTGAAAGTTAGCCTCAACACTAAATTTGCTGAGGCTAAGGATAGCAACCATTATAATTTTAGTGTATTGGGAGACTTTTTTTGTCAAGAGAGACAAGGAAGGACAGGATATCTGTCCTATACTTTAAAGTGAAAGAAAAACTTTTTAATTGCTATTGCTTATAACTGAGCTTTTATTTTTATTTTTTTTTAAGATTTTATTTTTTTATGAGAGAGAAAGAGCATACACACACAGGTTGGGGGAAGGGCAGAGGGAGAGAGAGAATCTCAAGCAGACTCCTTACTCAGCAGGGAGCCTGACATGGGGCTTGATCCCAGAACCCTGAGAGCATGACCTGAGCAGAAATCAAGTGTTAGAATGCTAACTCACAGAGCCACCTAGGCGCCCCTTGCTTATACCTGACCTTTTAAAAATAGTTGCTGAGAACTGTCAATAGTGCTTCTGGTTAAAATAATTTCATTTATTCAAGGTTGACTTCCTGCTGTGGAAGGAATACCACTGTAGTCTAGTGCCAAGTAGCAGATAGATAGATGTATAGATGGATGTCCATACAGGGTTTTTTGAGATCTTTGTAGGTATTCTTTTCTTGTCTGTTATTGGAATTTGTGAGAGCCAACAGGAAAAATACTCAGGATATTTTTGATAGATGTGAATGGCTATTGCGGAATTAAAATTAGAAGTCAGCTTCTAATTGATCATCAGGTTTAGAGAATTTAGAATGAAAGTTGTGTCTCACATTACATGTAGATGACTTTTAAAAACCAAGTATGGTCCTTATTTACTGTTCACGGGGATTATGTGTGTCAGAAAATGTAACTTTTAGATCAGTGATCAGTCTTATTATGAAATTATTTAAATAATTATTTCGTCATAAAATGACATTTTTCTGGATACATAATGGAACTTATATTTATTTTCTTCTTAAGAAAATACTGATGAGATAAAATTAGTTGTAAATTAAAATTTCTTTGTATTTGATGACTCCATTGGTGAAAGTTTTAAAAACTCTTCTACAAACAGTCCATTTTGTTAATTTTTTTATAGGTGCCACATAGTTGATTTTCATAAGTCAACTGGTCCTTTGGGTACACATCCTCGTTTATTTGAATGGATATTGAACTATTATTCTTCAGACCGAGAAGGGAGTCCAAAAGTAATGTGTACATCTAAACCTCCAATCTATCTTCAGCATCAAGGTTGGTATAACTCATAGATAATAAGTATAGCTTATACCTTTACAGGAAAACTAATTGACTTTTGCTCTTTTAAGATTCAGGTAGTAGGGAAGAGGAGAGTATTGTGACATTAGTCTGATTTTCAGAGCTACATTGTCCTTATGATTGGTACCTTCCTGGGTATTGAAGGGTGCTATCCCTTATATTATTTCAGGGCCACCCAGTTCACTCTTCTGTCTTGTTCATCCCTTACTTGTTTAGGTCTTCACCTAAGACTTCAGTGAGGCCTTCCTTGATCACCTTATTTGAAATTCCATCTTGTTATCCACCCCTCACCGCTGGCATTTTCTGTTTCTCTTCCCTGCTTTATTTTTTTGCTTCTAACATAATAATATGCTTATTTATTTACTTTGTTTATATTCCTTCCTTTTAGAGTGAAAACTCCATGAAGGCAGGAATGTTTGTTTTATTTGCTTCTGTATAGCTAACTGCTTGGAATAGTACCTGGCACATGGACACTTGATAAATTTTGTTGAATGGATGATTTGAAGCAACAGAAATAGGAGAAGTAAATGTTGGGAGTTTCATCATTTAGGAATACAAGCTGTAAAAGTTAAGCCCTTTCCATTGAAATTCTAGTATATATAAATTTACTTTTGTTAACCTTTTGGATTCATGAGAGTTTTTGTTCTGTGGTAGGTAATTTTCAAATGCTTTCTTGTGAGATAATTTGGATAAGAAAGATCAAGGGATTAGGAAGGGAAAACTAAAATAATATGGCACAGTAGACACAGAGTTTTTTGTAATGAAACTTTTAAGAAAAGAAAAATTGAGTAAATGAAAACTGAAGGCTAGGAAATAGAACTAAAACTATTATGTCTTCAGAGAAAGAGTACCTGTTAGAGAGACTGACTGTATTTCTATTCTATACACACATGTGCACATACTGCAGAGAATATATATACTGTGTGTGTGTATGTTCAGTAACATGTCTATATGTATAGCAATAGATAGGACACACACATATATAGCTGTTTCTTTCTTTTTTTTTTTTTTTTTTGATAGGTCATAGTCGCACAGTTGTTGGAATTGAAGAGAGAAAAAACCGAACATTATGTTTACTAATATTTGATCCTGGATGTCCTTCTCGAGAAATGCAGAAACTGTTAAAGCAAGACATGGAGGCTAGCAATCTCAAGCAACTTCGGAAATTTGTGGGAAATTTAAAACATAAGCAATACCAGATAGTGGCAGTAGAGGGTGTCCTTTCTTCAGAGGAGAAAGTTGTAAGTATCTACATATTTGATTATGTGAAGCTTGAACAAGTTGAACTTATAAGTTTAAGATTTTTAGTTAAAATCAGTGTTATCCCTTTGTATCTCATTCTGCATTATTTTGGTTTTGTATCATTTAATTTCTGGAGTGGACATCTTTAAATTTCAAATGCTACCTAATGACTTTCAAATACTTTACTCAGCTTCATAAAAATGTTTAATCTTATATAATGTAATTGTTAATGCCAGGCAAATGATGAAAAATGGCAACATATGTGGTAAGAAAACCTAACTCAATCCCAGGAGACCTAATGCGTATTGGTCTTAATAATTATGGTTTATTAAGTATGATTCTTATAATTATTGTGGCTCTATCTTACACATCTGCAGTTACTGGATATACAACACAGTTCTAGAATTTAACTTCATACAGTTGCCTCTTTATCCTTTACAGTTAAGTGGTGACTGGTACATTCAGAAGAATTTCTAGGTATAGAAAACCCTCCACTTGGTATAAACTGAAGTTATATAATGTCATATCAATTCTAGAAAATACAGTTCTCAGTATCTTAAGAAACTTCCCTACCAGACTACTCCACATGATTTGTTTCCCTCTGAGAAGAAAAGAGAGGACTAGAGAGGAGCGTTTATGAAGAGTAAGAGTAATAGGATTACAAGAAAAAGCTCTAAAATCACTTGAAATGAGAGAGAGAACTAGAGTTCATCTTTTCAGCCTTACAACTTGGACTATAAAGGTGAAGATTGTTTCAGAAGTTCTTCAGTTAATTACATCTTAAAGGTTTCTTTGTTGTGTATAAATGCCAAAATCACATTCATTTTTGCACCCTATCATTAATTTGGCTGCACAAAGTTAGAGAGTAATTTTATTTATTTATTACTTTTAAAAAGACTTATATTTTAATTTTATTTTTTAAAAGATTTTATTTATTCAAGAGAGCATGCGTGCACACATAAGCAGGGGGAGGGAGAGGAAGAAGTCGGCTCCCTGTTGGGCAGGGAGCCCCAAGTAGGGCTCGATCCCAGGATCCTGGGATCATGACCCAAGTGGAAGGCAGTTGCCTTTGGATAAGAAAGATCAAGGGATTAGGAAGAGAAAACTAAAATAATATGGCATATAAAAATATATGTGCCCCTATATTTTTATTTTATTTTATTTTTAAAGATTTTATTTATTTATTTGTCAAAGAGAGAGCACAAGCCAGAGGAGCGCCAAGCAGAGGGAGAAGCAGGCTCCCCACTGAGCAAGGAGCCTAATATGGGACTTGATCCCAGGACCCTGAGATCATGCATGACCTGTGCCAAAGGCACGCACTTAATCAACTGAGCCACCCAAGCGTCCCTGTATTTTTATTTTAATTCCAGTGTTGTTAACATACAATATTATATTGGTTTCAGGTATACAATGTAGTGATTCAACAATTCTATACATTACTCAGTTAAGGGTTCTCTTAATCCCCTTCACCTCGTTTACCCATCCCTGAACTTACCTCCCCTCTGGTAGCTATCTGTTCTCTATAATTAAGAGTCTGCTTTTGTTTGTTAGAGGTTAGTTTTAGTAGTTATAAATGTTCATCAGCAGAGCATAGGTGAGATTAAATATTATCATGGAGCCTAGCTGAACATTTTAGTTGTTAACTTTCTGGTTTTGGAAACTGAGACATTGGTGTTAGTAGAATACTAAAAATGTAATATGCTACTGTACTTTTTTTTTTTTTTTTTTGAGTCATGGAGGGTAGCTGTGTCTTTAACCAAAAAAATCAGGACTTGACTAACTGTATAATACCGCCAGAGAGAGAAGAAATAACAATATGATTAGTGATTATAATTGTAATATTAATAAAGTAGTACTTTATAATGCTTGCTTTGTATTAGGCATCATAATTTTACACAGATCTTAACTAATATAATCTACCCCATAGTGTAGACACTATTTTACAAATGAGGATACCTAAGCTCGAAAAGTTGTTATATTTCTAAAGTCATGCAGCTGCTAAGTTATATGAGGCAGGATTCCAGTTCAGTCCATCTACATCCAGCGTCCTCTATATTGCTTCTTCTGGGAGGATACAAAGTCTCATCATTTCATGTTTGCTAAGTAAGCTTATATGTGAACAATTCACTTTTATTGGAAAGATAGGACAGTATATTTTGAAAAACGAAAAATCATCAGTTAATATTGTTTTCGTATATCACTTGCAAGCTCAGGGTTTTGTTTTTTCCTTTTTTTTTTTTTTTAAATCACTGTGTCTTATAGTTATTCTGCCATTTTTAACAATGCTTTTATACATTATAGGAATTCAGCAAATACTGATGTATTGACTGATCTGCATATCACCAGATAGAAACTGGCGTCTGTAACTAAGGGCGCATTAATGACTTTACTTTTTATTTCAGGGTGGTGGTTTTCTTATATCTCATTTTAAAATATCTTTTTCCTCCCAAGTGATAACTATAATTTTAATTGTAGGAATTTCAGAACAAATTTGGTATTTTAAAGTATCGTAAAATGTAGATATTTGTAACTGCATTTTGTGTTTTGTTCCTCATATTTGGAGTTAATTAATTATATTTTAATAATCATGCAGCTCTTACTCAAGGAGAGGAATCGGTTTTCACAAAACTGTTTTCATCCTGGCAGCTTTCCTATAATTACCATAATACATTTCTACCATAAATATATTTTGAGTATCTAATAATTCCAAACTGTTACAGATTTTGGAACACTTGTTTAGGTGAAAGGATTTATGCTGGAAGGTATCTCCTAATACAGTTCAGTTGTAATGGATACAAACCTATTTAATAGCCATTCTCCTCAGTTCTTTTTATGTGTTGACATGTTGTAGTTAAATTGTATCACTGCATTCTTTGTTTTCCATTATGTAATCCTTGTACTCTTAACTTGATTTAACTTTGTTTTAAATTAGCTTGGTATAATATGTCTTGACTTGTAAACACAAGTTGTGAAAATGGAAGAAATGTTTAAAAGTCTTTTAGGGGCACGTGGGTATCTCGGACAGTTAAGCATCTGCCTTCAGCTCAGATCATGATCTCAGGGTCCTAGGATCCAGCCACCCTCCCCTCCCCTTCCTCAGGCTCCCTGCTCAGTGGGGAGTCTGCTTGTTCCCCTCCCTCTTCCCCCTTCTTGTGCACGCCACCCCCCCAGTCTTTAAAAGTGAAATTTTTAAGGCCATAATGAAGGAAATAATTTTCTTAAAGGTTCTCTGTTCACAGCCCTCTCTCTCTCCTCTGTGTTTATACATACCTCTTTCTGACTGTGAGCCATCATTTTACTTTGACTCATTATTCCTTAAAACATAGAATTTTCTTTTTACTTTTTTCTGTTTTGTCTTCACCTGGTATTTTGTTTAATTTCTTTTTTTTTTTCTTTTTCTTTTTTGGTTTGGCTTTAAAAATGTTTATTTCTGGGGTGCCTGGGTGGCTCCCTCTTCCCCCTTCTTGTGCATGCCCTCTCTCTCTCTCTAAGTCTTTAAAAGTGAAAATTTTAAGGCCATAATGAAGGAAATAATTTTCTTAAAGGTTCTCTGTTCACAGTCCTCTCTCTCTCCTCTGTGTTTATACATGTCTCTTTCTGACTGTGAACCATCATTTTTACTTTGACTCATTATTCCTTAAAACATAGAGTTTTCTTTTTACTTTTTTCTGTTTTGTCTTCACCTGGTATTTTAATTTCTTTTTTTTTTCTTTTTCTTTTTTGGTTTGGCTTTAAAAATGTTTGTTTCTGGGGTGCCTGGGTGGCTCAGTTAAGCATCTGACTCGCTCTCACACAGGTCTTGATCTCAGGGTCCAAAGTTCAAGCCCCACATCGTGCTCCACTCTGGGTGAGGAGTCTACTTAAAAAAAAAAAAAAAAAAAAAAAAAAAAGTTTATTTCTAATTTTCTTAAGTTTGAAGTTGTAATTTTTCTTAAGGAATTTTCATTATCTTCAAAAAATTTTCTAGATTTTTTATATTAGATAATTAATATAAATTCTAAATAATGGACTTCTTAAAATTAACAGTTCTTTAAAATTCCTTTTCAAGGCCAGGAGACAAGCTTCTCAAGTCTTCACAGCTGAGAAGATTCCTTGAAGAATTAAGCATTTCAATGATCATGGAATTTTACTTTATTTTCCAAATTCAGATATTGAAGTCCCTAATACAGCTATGAACCTAAATTCTTTAAATACTCAATTTATAATTTAATGTCTAAAACATCTAAATCATACCTCAAGTACCTCACTGTTTAGTAACTATTTCAATAAACTATTTTGTTTGCATTATGAGTTCTGTGTTTCCTCATATCCTCATATTCCTCATATGTGTTAGAAACTGGTTTTGTGTAGTAGTTCTATGTAATATTTATTGGGTCCTTCTGTTAGGTATCCTAGTATTTTTCCATTTTTAATTAGTGTAATCTTCAATTCTGTGAGACAGATTTTGTTAGTCCTGGAAGGAAGCTGCAGCTCTGCAAAGTTTATAATTCACCCAAGAAAATGATTGTAATCAAGGGTATGAACCCAGGCTGTCTTACTTCCAAGCTCTTACATTTGAGCATTCTGCTTTCTTTTGTTATAAAACGTATATAATGAAATTCCCTCCTCATCACTTAGAAATTACCTTAATATTTAACAGGTATAGTTCTAAAAAAGAGGTTTTGCTTTTGTTAAATATTTATACTCCTACCCATGCAATTGTGAATTGGAACCTATGTTTCACATGTCCTGTAGGAAGCAAACTTTCAGATTCATGTTGGATGTGTCAAGTAGGGTTGCAAGCAAGGATCCTACTTTGGCCAATTTGAGCAGAAGGGAATTCATTGAAAGATCATCAGAAGCTCAGAGAATACACAGGTAACTAGGAAACTGTTCTGGAACAAAGGCGATTCTGGAGGCTAGAATGTGGTCTGATTTATAGTGGAACTATCTGGTTAGGAGCCAAGTCAGTTGTCTCTGTTCAAAATTCAGATTCTAGGGCGCCTGGGTGGCTCACCTTAAAGCCCCTGCCTTTGGCTCAGGTCATGATCCCAGAGTCCTGGGATTGAGCCCCGCATCGGGCTCTCTGCTTCGGTGGGGAGCCTGCTTCCTCCTCTCTCTCTGCCTGCCTCTCTGCCTACTTGTGATCTGTCTGTCAAATAAATAAAATCTTTAAAAAAAAAATTCAGATTCTAGAAAGGCCACATCTGATTGGCATGAGACTATGCCATGGGATAGAGGCAGTTTCTTGAAAGGAAATTAGGGTAGATAAGGAAATGGATATTATACAACAACAACAAAAAGCAACACGATGAAAAAAGAACATACTTGAATAAGGTTTTATAAATATTAGCTATTCCATCAAATAGTAAAAGCTGCACTCCAAGAGTGAATAATACTGCCAATTGGAAAATTCTGGAAATCATCTTTCCTAATACACTATCTCTCAGACAGGTAACCTATGTTATCTTGTTTCTACTTTAGATCTACTTTACAGATTTCTACTTTATCTTGTTTTGTGCCATCATTACCTTTTATCTAGATAATATAATAATCTCCTAACTGGTCTCCCTGTCTTGATCCTGTGTCAGTCAGTCTTCCACAAATAGGCCAAATGTTTTGAAATACAGATGTGATTTTGTGACTTCCTAGTTGAGCCTTCATTGCTTCATTACTGGATAACGTCCAGACATTCCACAAAACCTGGGCCCTGCTTACCTCTTCAGGCTCATCTCTCACCACCCTCAAAGTTCTACTCCTTCCAGCCTAAAGTCCTTTGCCAAAAAACAGTTGATGCTGCCTCTGACCCATCTCCCCATAGTTCTCTACCTCTTGGAAATGCTTTCTGCAAGGCTCATGTCTGGATTAAATGCAACTTCTAAGTATTTGATAGCAGTCTTTTTCAAAGTATAGATAGATTGATCAGTGATCTGAGAACTGCCAGTCTGTGACAAGATAATTACAGAAATCAGAATTGCTGTGATAACTTTATTTCACAAAATAGTGGCATTGGATGAGAATTTTTATTTTTAAATTGGTATGCCACAGACTGTGGGAAACCCTGTATTATGGTACCCTGTGACATTTATATCACAATACCTGCTAAGTTGCAAACTGTTCTGATTTTCTATTTCCCTTTTCATATTTCGCTCCTTGAATGGATTCAGGAGCAATGCCTACTTTTTAATAGTAGTTTCAGAGTGCCTGACACATAGAGGCCTTAAAAAAAAAAAACCCTTTTTAATGAATGGAGATAACTAGTTTTAGAGAAATGGTAGTAGAAAAATAGTGGTCTGAAGTCTTTGGATATCCCAGCTAGCCATCTCTGTGCAGATCATTTTTCCCTAATCAGATCAAACCAATTTCTGTAGGATAAAGGAGTCAGACTGAGAACTTTTTTTTTTTTTTTTCAGTTTTATTTATTTATTTGTCAGAGAGAACACAAGCAGGGGGAGCTGCAGGCAGAGGGAGAAACAGGCTCCTGCAGAGCAAAGAGCCAGATGCAGTATTGGATTCCAGGATTGAGAACATTTTTTAAGAAGTAACAAGGAGGGACACCTGGGTGGCTCAGTTGTTAAGCATCTGCGTTCGGCTCAGGTCATGATCCCAGCCAGGCCCGCATCCAGTGTCCGGCTCCCCACTTGGCGGCGAGCCTGCTTCTCTCCCTCCGCGTTCTTCCCCTAGTTGTGCTCATTCTCTCTGTCAAATAAATAAAATCTTAAAAAAAAAAAAAAAGACGAAAGTGTCAAAATTTTGAGTGCTCGCAGTCTCTGAGCAGGTGATAGAATTATAAATCCTCTCCCCAGCAAAACAAAAAACAAGCTCTCCCACACACATACATACACAGTATTTGTGTACAGCTTCACAGACTGGTTAAAAATACATGCTCTGATTGAGGGACTATCAATAATTTTGGTCCAGTACCTGCTGACAAATATTCAAGTCCCTAAGAAGATTTTGTGGATTATATCTTTCCAGGTTTGCTATATTAGAAATTAAACCTAAGACTTCTTTTTTTTAAGAATGCACATTATTCTATTAGCTGTAGCCAACAGAACAGGAACATGTTGTTTAGCCTCTGAAAATTCCATTGAACGTCTTTCTAGAGGTACATATTAGTAGTTGAACATATGAAATTCCAAACTGGACATTTTCTTTTTTTTTTTTTTAACATTTTATTCATTTATTTGACAGAGAGAGATCACAAATAGGCAGAGAGGCAGGCAGAGAGAGAGGAGGAAGCAGGCTCTCCACGGAGCAGAGAGCCCGATGCGGGGCTCGATCCCAGGACCCCGGGATCACGACCCGAGCCGAAGGCAGAGGCTCTAACCCACTGAGCCACCCAGGCGCCCCTCAAACTGGACATTTTCAAGGAATAACATTTTGTACATGAATAGTTGCCAATTTTATGTAATTCTGTACTATATACTATATATGTAAAATCAAGAGTCCACACACAGTATATGTGTACCAGTCTCACACAAGGCTGGGCTGATACTATTCTTGGTCAGAATCATCGTCCTCATCTTCATCTTCCTCAGTTTCTCCCATTTCTTCAACAGGAAGAGCAGCTGCTTCCCTCGCGGCTCGGAAAGCCTGCTCTTCTTGCACACTAGGATCATCCATTTCTGTAATTTCGGCCCCGCTGGGGTATTCTTGGTAAACTGGTGGTGGAGCTGGGGGTGTGTAGTTGTCCGGACTATATTTATGACCCCAGCCTATGTAGAAATTTTCAAACTTTCTATAAAATTTGAAAAGAAAGTTGATGATCATTATATCATTTTTCAGTAAGAAAAATTGATCCTTCTCTTCTGTAAAAGCTGATCACTCCCAGTGTTATGGTCCTATAATTTCAAAACACTACATTTTAAGTGCTAGGGATGAAAGAGCCCTCGATGATTCTTTTACTACAGGACACACTACTGTGATCCAAACTGTTTAAGCTGGCTAAGAGGTGCGCCAAACTGTCAACATGTACGCTACACCTAGACCACCATCTTTAATCATTTAATTGCTATTTTCAGAAAAAACAAAACAACTAATTTAAACAGTTACTCTTCAGCATTAGGAAGAGCTAAAATGTTGCCAATTTAGCAAATTATTGGTATGGCAGACGGTGCTTCTGATTGATTACAAACCTGTGTGTGGTTTTTCGGGCCCACATATACACAGTTGTCAGGCTTTACCTGGAAGGTGTCACAGGAAAACTGCTGTCACTGTGTCATACTTGATGCCCAGCCAGTGCATTGCAGTCTCTAAGGAAGGTTCTAGTCAAGGACTCTGACCCATCCAGCCTGCCATGCTCTTCGCATAGCTGAGTTCCTGGCACAGCTGCCTTCATTCTAGGTCTTATCGGAGGCCTTCAGCAGAGGTCTTCAGGTGCCTCTGCCAAGGCCTCCTTATGGAGTTTCAGAAGGGGGATACCTTAAAGACACTTCTCCCTACTCTCAGTACTCAGTGCTTTTCACTTATAGCCCTTCCCCACTACCCTCTGCCAGCTTCCTGGACCCTCCTGGCCATAAAACTGCAGAAGTCTGATATTTGGGGACTCCTCAGTGAGATGACCTTCCATCAGTGTGCCATTCCAGGAAGGAAAATGGGACAGGAGCAGTCAGAGTTTTCTCCTCCTTATATTGTCATAGTAAATGATCAAAAGCTCAACTCACTTTTGGCTTGTGGCTATAATGGCAACTCTCACATTTGGCAGCTCAGCTCTCTCTCCAGCTTAGCTGAGCTTCTGACACTGGGGTTCTTAGATGAGAAATGGAAGCATAAGACAAATGGAAGTGTATGTTCTGGGTGAAGGATAAAAGGACATCGAGTATCCTCTTGATCCTAATTCTCTTGAAAGTGATAGCTTAAATAATACATACTTTAAATTACCTTTTATCAAGATAGCCAAGAAAAATTATGTGAGATTCAAACTAAACACTGCATAGAACTACCTCCATTAATCCTAGAAAATAAGTAAGTCTATTGCTCAAATAATCAGAATAAAAACCATATTAGGACAGAAGTCTGAGTTACTCTAGTATTCTAAATTTGATGCTTCACTATGTAATATAAATGTTGTTTGACTGAACCTTACAGCACACACACCTGACATGCCAAGATGAGTTACCCGCCTTCCTCCTTCCTTAGCATTCCTGGCACCAGACTTGGCTCCAAAAACACATCACTGGAAAACTGGTCCAGTGAGAAAACAACTTATCTTGTGGTGACATAGGTTCCCTGAGAGTGGTCAACTCGGCAACAGGAAGAAGCTTGTCCTAGGCAGTGACATTTTACCCACTGTGAAATCTGGGGACTTTATCATCTGCCTCCAGCCTCTTGCTCTCTCTTTATCTCAGCCCCATTTCCTAAGCTGTGAAATGGGGGACATCTCTCCCCAGAGTAGTGATAGGAACTCATGGAGAAGATGTAAGTACAAGTGCTGAACATGACTTCTGGCTCATGGGCTGGTCCTTCCTAGGTATCTCTCCCCCAACTCCTTAATCTGGGTAGACTGCCCATACTCTTTTTTCCCCTCCCATCCTGGTCTGGGACCTCACTCCAGGTTATTGTGAGTGGCTGCCCTGAACAACCACCCAGGGCAGCCTTGTCTCTTACTCTGGGATTACTCTAACTGCCTCACCCAGGCTTGTGCTTCACCTGGGGAAGCAGGTAAGGGAGGGAAAAAAGAAAAAAAAAAAACAGAACAGAACATTCCAGTGATAATTATAATTTCCAGCACTTAAATAATCCTGATAATGGCTTTGTATACTTACTTGCCATTGGAAAAGGCATATGCTCCAGGCCAAAGGTTGGATCTAAGGACGGCAATAGCATATTGAGGAATGAGAGTTGAGGACAGCCGTGTTGTCCAAGGTGGTATATTCTGGATTTCTGCAAACCAAAGAGAAATTCAAAAGCTTAACTCCTGTATAGACAAGGATATACTATGTATCAGACTTCTTTTTACAAATCCTAAAACACACAAATTTGACATATAAAGAAAAATCAAGCATCAGCAGCTTAACATAAAGTCAGAAGGATAATTTATGAACCCTGTGGAACAACAAAATTTGATTATTTATATGCATGTATGTGTGCATGGGTGTGTCCATCTGGGCAACAGAAAAGTTTTATTAAGGGAGAGGAGAACTATGTGGTAGAGAGGATATTATTTAATGACCAAATAAAAGATCAAATTATTATTATGAAAGAGAACAAAGATTACAAGCAAAACTTCTCCAAAACTGAATAGGAAGAAACAAGTCTAGGAGGACAAGAGAGGACTTAAAAAACCCACAATACCTATGTGGTTAAAAAACCACATAACTAGGGGCGCCTGGGTGGCTCAGTGGGTTAAAGCCTCTGCCTTCAGCTCAGATCATGATCCCAGAGTCCTGGGATCAAGCCCCACATGGGTTCTCTGCTCAGCAGGGAGCCTGCTTCCCTTCCTCTCTCTCTGCCTGCCTCTCTGTCTACTTGTGATCTGTCAAATAAATAAATAAATAAATAAATCTATCTTAAAAAAAACAACACATAATTATTTTACGTGTTTATGGCTTTAGATTATGGTCTGCAGAATGCAAGACAAGAATGATACACAGGACAGCTGTCAGCATTTCCAATAAGAGCTGCAGCCAATTTACTTTTCTTCCCAGCATCACTCCTTCACCCTCTGTCTGAGAAAGTTGCTGATGAGGCCAGCTATATTCTCCTTTCCCACTCTCCCAAAACACATGAAAGGGAAAGGGGATGAAATTTTGGCTCCCGTTCACTTTTAATAGGTTTCCGACTCCCATTTATTAACCATATAATATATACAGTATATTATACGTACAAGCATAAAAACTATAGCATATATGTATACTATATATAGTATAGCATATGTACATGAAAAATACCCTACAGTATATCTACTGTATGTATTATATACACATAATATCTATATAATATACATGGCATATATTATGTAGCTTGTGTAAAACTACCTGTATCTTCAGAGATTGGTGTCAAAAGAGGAGGCCCCACTTCCTGTTCCATATACTCAAGCTCTTCTCCTTTTCCTTCTTCTTTTTCTTCATCTTCCTCCTCCTCCTCCTCCTCCTCACTTTTTTGTATGGGATTGAACCAATTACAGCGACCCTGGAAATGAATATCGCAAGATTTAATAATCTAATGAGGACCTTAAAATATTGGACTATTTGTTTGGATTAAAGCGATTATTTGCAGGAAGTCCTACTGTATGGGAATTTCATCAATCACTTATGCATTCAACATCCCAAGTACGAGGTTTTTGATCTAGCTTATTTTGAGCAAAAAATGGTATAATTTATTTCATAAATTTGCCAACTTCCTAGAGTTACAGAACAGTTATATTTTGAAATCAGCAAAACCTTAGTAGAAAAAAATAATGCACTTTATTAATTTGTAACAAATAATTTATGGGAAAGCGGTAAGGTACTATTATTAGTAGCAAAAACAAATCTTTAAATGTGATAAGAAAGTTAGGTTTGGAGTTATTTCTCATTTGAGTAACCCTCATCCAGAGACACAGAAGAGTCCCTCTTCCGTAGATCAAAGTGTAATGATTTTCTACCCGCAGATGTGGCAGGATAGCGGGTGATGAAGAAGATCCATTCTGCCCATTCACATGTGACTCTGTTTCCTATTGGCTATATTCCCTTTTTCGAGTTTTCTAAGCTTTCTGCCTCGATTTCCCCATCTGTAAAATCAAGATAATATTAGTCTTCCATGCAGTTGTGAGGATTACATGAGATAATACCGATTCGATTAAGTGCTATTAAGAGTACCTGGCAGAAGGGGTGCAAAATAAATGCTATACAGCACTACCTGTTTTCGTTTTTGTTATAATAGTTTATTTGTCTTGGTATAAAAGCTCCATGTATTATTATAGAAATAGAATAAAAGAACTGTTCCCAAAATAGGAATGCACCTATCTATAGTTAACATATAAAATGCAATTTCACAACACACATTAATCTAAATCCTCACATAACTTGTCAAATTCTCCATAGAAATACTGATTTTATTTCTTTTTGGAAATAAACATTTGTTCAAAGATCCCAGGTCTCCATGACTTGGCAATTTCATAGTCCTCTGCACTTTTGATTTTTCAATGCTTTCTTTGTCTAGGATCTGAAGAACTTTGTTTTGTATATATCTGTGCATTGTAGAGAGAATTTAATAAAAATTTGCTGATTGGCTGATAGATTGAGAACTGAAAAACCCCTACCTGAGAGAGAATGTGTTGCACATGATGAACCCAATTGGAAAGGGATTCCACGAGATCGATCACTTGGATGCCTTCAAAATCTGGGTTTTCTTCAAAGCTATCTCGCCGGCCTTCTACCTCTTCCTCCTCCTCTCCTTCCTCTTCACCAAATTGATAGAAACCCAGAGGGCTGACGTGGGTCCCTGCTGAAATTCTGGCAATTTGTGCTCGTAAGTAATTGCTCTCATTTCCTGGGAAAGGTGGGTAGCTTACAATGGGAGTCTCTAAACGCCCAGTGAAAAATTTCTTGATCTTTCTTGCAGTAACAATTTGTGTAGGTGTAACCGATGGTAACTTCACCCATGGTCCTCCTGGTTCATTGCACACAAAATACACGTATTTGTTGGCCCCCGTTCTATTTTCCTCTTTTGGTATAACCTGTGGGGTCTTGTAAAATGTCCTTGGTAATTCATCTTCGTCATTTTCCTCAGCGTCGCTGTCTCCATCATCCCTCTCTTCAGTTACATCTTCGTCTTCTACGTCTTCTTCATCTTCTCCCTCACGGAATTCTACTTCAGCTACAATATAATTCATTTCCAGACCCAAGATCTTGCCCCAGAAGCGGCATCTTTGGATTGGATGGGTGTCAGTAAGCTGCTTGAGGGCAAGAAATATGCGATAAGTCTCATCTGTGCCCAAACCAACTCCAGCTTGTTCGAAATAAAAAGCTGACTCCATTACATTTGGGAGAGAGTTTTCTGCCTAGGGATAGAAACACTGTGGTTAATGTTAGAAACTGCTTGCTTCCTTTTTCCTTTTTCAACATCTTGGTATTAGCTCTACATCTCTCCATGATGTCTTTGACATTTCTTGAAAGGTTTAGATCTAATAATTCCTGTATTCCAATTTTTCTCTCATTACCCAAAAATGTAACTTCTACTATTGTGTCTTATACTTACCAATATAATAGTTGCCTTGTTGTATGTGTGTATCTTAAGGATAATTTAATAGCTATTATGAATAATAAAAATTGAACATCTTTTTATAAAAAATATTTAAGTGGCCATAATAAAATATAATCTAACTCCCTATACATATTTAAAGAAAGTATATATATGTTTGTACATATTACCATAGTTTTCTTAGTAATAAATATTATGTACATATGATAAAATACAGAATGAATAAAAATCAATATGACCCTCTATATAGGGTAATTTATAGGATAAAAGGAAGATATAATAAAGTAAGTGCTCATACATGACTTCTCTTGAAAACATAATTTAATCAGGTGTTTGCCCCTACTTATAATAAATGCTTTTGGATTTACCATAAGGAAGAAAATAAAAAAATGTTTCTATAAGGGAAATAGAAGTGAAAAAGCAAAGTCTCAAGTGAACGCTAAGAAAACATCTGTGAGAAAGTAGAGATTAACCTTAAGTAGGATAGGGATCACTTACAAATTTTAAATAAATTTAGACAAATTTTAGACCTTGAAGATAGAGAAATTGAGAGCACTTTTCTGTTGTTAAAAGTGATCTGCTCTTGTTTATATTATAATGTTGGTGTCAAAATAAGCACAATGACTGTTTACAATCCTCATCTCTTTCGTGTTTGGCATTTGTTGCACCCCTCAGTATTTTTTTTCCTTTCTCTTTTTCTTTTTTCTTTTCTTTTCTTTTTTTTGTTTTTGTTTTTGTTTTTGTTTTTGTTTTTGTTTTTTACTTGACTGTAGTGGACACACAACGTTACATTTGTTTCAGGTGTACCCATAGTGATTGGACAAGTTTATGCATGTGCTGTGCTCACCACAGGTGTAGCTACCATCTGTCACCATATGACAGCATTACAATATCATTGACTGTATTCCCTATGCTGTGTCTTTCATTTCTGTGGCATTCATTTCAAAACTGGAAGCCTGTATCTCCTACTCCCCTTCACCATTTTGCCCTTTCCCCCTTTCTAGAAGCATTTTGGTGCTTCTAGACTTTACAGGGAAGGGAGATGTCTAATTCTAACTGGGAGTCCATGATCAGGTTTCCCAGCCAGTTTTGTATCCAGTCCCAAGATGGGAAGCAGCAGCCTGCCAGACCCAGAGAGCCTCTACCCTCAAAGAGGAAGATGATCCTGGAAATAAGACTGCTCCATGTCTGAGGTGTTACTAAATTGAAAAAAACAGATTGAAAAAAACCAAAAACTCAACAGGTTTTAAAGTGTCTTCCATTTCATTATATATATTTTTTAACTTGCCACAATGGTAGAAAAATCTTTTGCTGAAATGATTCTGATGATTTTTTTGTTCTATCTTGTTTATAAAAGGAAAAGAAATATACACACTTCTAATTATGTGACTTTGTGAAGGTTTCTTCAAGATATCACCTGCTCCTTCTGAGTACTCTGTATCCCTCTGTGTCAGGTTGGTCTCCCCACAAAGGTTGTGGAGCCCTAGAGATTAATCTGCTGTCTAGATCCTTACCCTCCTATGTTTTTCTTGACTGAACTTTCCACTGGTTTCCGAAAATATCTTACACCAAACATCAAATTTGCAAGTATACAGACAGATTTTAAGTGGTCTTAGTGGTAACACAACATGGAAGCTCAGTAGATGTATAGTATAAATCACTCAGTAGTATAAATTACAAGCATGCGGGCATTCAGGAAACAATACTTGATGCTATTTTTAAAATATTTGGAGCAAAAATTCCTGTGGTACAACTAATTTTATTCTTTCATGATAGCTTTCTATCTCTGACACCAACTTTCTCTGTAAATATTTTCAACACTTTGTTGAAAATTGGATTTTAATCACTATAGAGTGATTAAAAGAAATATTTTATCCCTCTCCTCTTGTATGATACCCCATTGATGTAATATGCACAATATCAAGACGTAATATGAGGAAGTCACCTTGGAAAAGAATCCAAATAACATTAGAGATACTTCCAGTTGCTCTAGTTAATTAAAGGGGCAGATAGGCAACTTGTTTTAAAGCCCAGCTTTTAACTATCTGATGTTAATTCATTCATCAATAAATATTTAATAAGAAACAGCTTTAGACCCACATTTATACCAGGTACTTTGGAGAGTATAAAAGATAAAGGAATCATTTCCTCTGATATCAAGGAGCTCAACCCCACATACATATAACGAACAACCAAGCCTATGAAATACTAAACGCAATGTGAAAAATAAGAAACTCTAAACAAGGAAATTAATGGTGCAAAATGAGTTTGCAAACACTATTTAGGAAACTATGTAAGATAGTCCATAAGAATTTCAAGCCACACCCACTCATCTCAAATAAAACCCTAGAATCAAACTATTCAAATTGATAGCCATGACTTACTATTTCATCTTCCAGTTCTTGGTCGACTCCTTCCAAATTTCCCTGGAGAAAAAGAGCCTTTTGCTTCTCTGCTGTTTCATATATTGGAAGCATCTCATTCTCATTTTGGAGTGTATCTAATTTTTTCCTAAAATGTGCCATCTTCACATCTTGGCTGATACTTTCAATGATGTCCACAGCATTTTCAGGACGCTCATCTAAGACCTTAGTTAGCATATCAGAAAGATGATCATATCTACCAGAAAAGAGAAAATTCCAGATAATATGCATGTCAAACAGCTTTTGAAGAAGCATTACATGCAGACTCAATTAGTTGGTTTCTAGGAAACTTCAACAACTCAAAGCCTTCATAAATTTTAAGTGGAGAAATACAGTAACTGCATCACTGCCACAAAGAACCTACCCTAGAACTTCCCTTAGGAAATGCCTCCAATGTGATATGAATATTTAACTTACTAAAAGAAAAAATACTACAGCAACTAGATTTCTTGATTTGCTCCAATAGAGGCCATACATGCCATTAAATGGAGGGCTCCAAGTCCAAGTTTTCATTTTATTTTTCAGATTTTAATATAATGTCTGCATTTGCTTTATTTATAGTTCTTCCAGCAAGATATTGTCAGTATTTTTTAAGAATTCCAAACCTGAAAATGCCTCTGTATCAAAATATAAAATATATTAGATTTTAATCCATAGTTATAGCTTTTAATTTGGAAGTTTTAGTAATTTGTTTTAATAGAATGGCAGAAAATGAGGAAGTAATTCTTTCTGTAGACTTTTTATTCAACAGAGTAAAACCAATATCAGATCTTGTATTTTAATAAAAGACTTTCAATTACAACAAAAAAATATTTTTCATGGCTGTCAAATAAGATATGCATATAAGAGTGTTAAAGTCATCTGTTACAGAGCAGTTTTTTTTGTTTTTGTTTTTGTTTTTGTTTTTACTGAGCAGTTTTTAAAGGCAGGCTGTAAAGTACTTAGAAGATAATAGTGAATATTCTAGAATATATTAATTTTTGACCTCAGAGACTTAGCATTTGGAAAAAAAATAAAATTTAGATATTTAAAGTAATATCAGTTACAAAATAATTCAGTGAAGAAAATTCTTCTGTTTTCATATTTTGTGTTCAGTTTTAAATTGTTAGTGAACTCTCAAGTATTTATAATGAGCTTCTCTGGGATTTTAACACAATTTATAAATTCATGCTTATTATCTAACCCAGAGAATTATGACAATAAGTTTATATAACAAATTCAAGTAGAATCCACTACTGAGTATAAATCACATCATTGAAGCTTAGTAAACTGTAGTTTAAAACAGGACTTTAGAAATAATATTTTGAATTGTCAATCTCAGGTTTTGTGGAAGATTTCTAACATTAAATACTAGTTTTAAAATTAAAACTAATTATTGTATGAAAATTATTGTGATCAATTCTAGTTTGCCCCAGACTGAGGGTTTTTTTAGAATGCAGAACACCCAGTGCTCAAATCAGATCAGTTCTGGGTGCCTGAGATAGTGGGTCACCCCCACACTGGCCTCGGGCGGGGACAGGGGATAGCTCAAAAGCAAGCCAGACAAGCACCAGGATGCCCAGATGAGACGCCATGAACTCCCTATCACTAGCAGACAATTGCTTTTTATAAGCACCCTTGGAGAGATGCTCCGACTTCACTATCTTCATGATCTCTTTTAAACCCAAGATTCCGTAATTCCTAGGTTTTATTTCTGTGTGCCAAGGGTCTTTAAAGAAGTTAAAAGAATCCCCACCAAAGACCTATTTTGAGTTCTGTGTTGCAAAGAGTTATTAAGCCACTAACTCTCCTACTCATGCAGACTTTTCAAATATGTTTCCATTCACCCACAGAAAGACACTCTCACACAAATATACACCCCCTTTTCCTTGCCAACTGCCCCCTCCTTTTTCCCTTTAAGATTTACAGATTTAAGCCAGATTTGCTGCTGGTCTTCAGCAGGTAAGCCTTAGCACTCTGAACGGCAATCTCAAGCAGGCTGGGGGCCCCTTCAGAGACCCCAGACTCAGTGTGATCCAGTTCATAGTTACTGTTTGAGTCCTCCTCCTGAAAGATGTTAAATCTCAGCTCTTTTTGTTTAGAGTTGTTATTGCTCACATCTTCTGGTCCATAGAGGTGACGTTCGGTTTGCTGAGACTGTTTAAAAGTGTCTCCCTCTGATTGGCATGTTTGAGGAGCAGTCGATTCTCCTTGATCAGATTGTTCCAAATGGTGGGAGCGAGGTGTCTCAGCTTTGGGATTCACATCCGTGGTTCTGTCTGACTGCCACGGAGCCGCAAGTTGCTGTCCAGCCAGAGCCAGCGTGAAAGGAATGAAAGAAGCCTCCGGAGCCGAAGGTGGAGATGGTGCACCCGATCCCCTGACTTCATCCAGAGGAGGGCTGGCTCTAGACTGCGGGCTCTGCGGAGGGCTGCTTCTCGGTTGGGGTCCAGTTTCCAGCCACTGCTCCGATTCCAGGGGCTCAGATAACCCAGACTCGGGATCTTGGGAAGAACCTGCTATTTCTTCCCATGGCCGCCTTGCTTCTCCCAGTTCCTGGTTTTCTTTGTCTTGCTTCGGGGATGTCAAATCTTCCATGGAAGGAGTCAAGAAAAACGAAGTTCTGGATGAAGGGGGAATGCAGATATAGAAAGGCAGGGTAGCCGCTTTGCTGAGGTCGGCTAAGCGATTTCTGGGCACTAGCGGCTCCGCAAGTTGCAGCGTCCTATCTCCATAGCAACCCCAGGCAAGGCTTCCTCGAAGAGAAACTACGCACATCTGTTGCCAGGATTCTAGGGAGGAGACCAAGTGAAATGAAAACCCTAGGTTTGTGATTTGGTGAAGCCTCTTGCTCCTTTTCCTGCCACAGCCAATCGGACCTGCAGTTGACCAGTCTTGGTTGGAAACCTGAGAAGTGGTCCCGCGCCGCGGATACAAAATAACAAAGGAGGAGGAGCGGAGGGAACTGCGATCCTGCGCGGAAGAACATTCAGGGTCTGATAGTTTGATTCACGTTGCGCGGAAAGGGGTGAGTCAGGCATTAGCAGAGAAATAATGCATTTACAGAGTGAGCGAGTGAGTGAGTGAGTGAGTGAATGTGGGGTGTGTGTGTGGGGGGGGGGGGGGTGGTGCGACAGAAAGAGACACAGACACCGACAGACCTTGGAAATCCCGAGATGCAGGTGCAAATGAGAAGCCAGTGTGCAGACCAGGAATGTCCAAGACTCACACTTAGAAGGCAAAGATGTCTCATCTGCGCCATCCAAACTCGAGAGGCTTTTGGAGGATAAACAAGGACGTCCTGATTTTTATTCTTCCCCCTCTTATGGAATATGCCGGATGAGTAGCAACATTATTAGCTTGAAAGTGAAGGCAATGTAGAAGGTTATGTTACATAAATAATACAGCTCATGGGTTACCTGTTTTCTAATGATTGAAATTCAAATGAACTCTAAAACTATTTTGGCATGATATAATCCCTCTTTGATAATATAAGTGTGAATTCATAATTCTACAATATTTTAAGGTCATGACTATGACAATGACTATGACTTAATGCAGATTTTTCAGTCTCCAACTTGAAGAAGGTATAAAGGATGGGACATAAATGGTCTGGACTATAAACTGAATATTCGTTAGTCTTTAATATTCATTTATTCTGTATCTCTCTTTTTAAATAAATGATTACTTGGCTTTTGGTATTATACATTGATGTAACTTCCAATTAGTAAGATGTTGGTCATTACTTCTAACTTCATGGAAGAACATAATCCTTAGCTCTTGCCCACTCCCAATTTGGTGGGAGAATTTCAGAGCTCTTCCATAAATCTGTGCACCCTCACCCTTCACAAAATATATGTGTCTGTGCACACAAAATGTTTCATATAATTTCCGCTGGTTCAGGAACTCCTTGAAGTCAAACTCTTCAGATTAGAATCATTGGAATAGACTCAAAAATGAAAGAAAAACTAGAGTGATATACTAGGGGAGAAGGGCAACTGAAAAGAATGACCTAAGAAAATGTCCATTAGTTTTCCTGCTTTATTTCCAGCCCAAACAGCTATCTAGACTCTGACTCTAGTAATCCTAAAGTTTCTTCTTGTTCTTAGAATAGTTAATCAATAGTTCTTTGATAATTAATCAAAGCTCCTGGCCTACTTACCTCTCCATTTTCATCTGGAGCTGCTCTCCCTTCTGGTCAGCAACCTAGTAACCCTGATTTTTCTCTCATTCACTGAAATGTTCCATACTCCTTCTTACCTCAGCGCAATTGCACATCCTATTTCTTTTGCCTGAAAAGTTTCCCCCTGTTCCACATCAGTGCGAGAGCTGAGAAAGGCTTTACTGTCAAAGCTAAATATCTTCTGAAGTTTCTGGAGCTTCCTCATGGAATATCTCAGACCCTTTAGAAATCATTGCAAAATGCTGAGTGACCATTACCTGGGTGGTATCCTTATAACATTAAGCTATAGAGAGGACACAAAGTTTTACAATGATAAAAATTCCAATAATAATGATCAAAATGCTGATTCCAAATTGGAGGATTGACCTAAACCAGGAAGCAATTCCTGAGGGCAGCCAGCTAAAAAGAATCAGTGGACACTGCATTTAGCCACTTGGGTTGCACCTGGATTTTATCTAGCTCTATTTCTACTTGGTCAGAGCTGTTTGCCCAAGTACAACCAGAGGTGTTTTCCTCAGAGCACACCCCACATTGTTTAGCTCAGAGTGAAATAAGAACAATTCCATTAATGAATACAACTCATACAAGGGAGTCCAAAGATTTTTCTTGGATGCCTATTGCTGTAGCAACAGATTTAGTGATATCCCTCAGGATTTCAGAGAGATTTCTGACAGGGCTTCTCTCCAGTTTGGTTGGAAGGTCTAAGGGTCTGCTTGTATATTCATTTGTGGCAACATAAATTCTGACAGGGCTTCTCTCCAGTTTGGTTGGAAGGTCTAAAGGTCTGCTTATATATTCATTTATGGCAGCATCTACCCAAGGAAAAGTAATCTACCAAACCTGGTAGCTTTGCTGGGGTTGACACCAGCAGTCACTTATCACCCTTGACTCTGTGCAGCCAGTGTCACACTGGAGTCCCATGCTATGTTTCTGATTCATTATACAAATGAAATGGGTGTGACCAATAATCCAGTTGTACAACCTTTACTTTGACGGGGATTTAAACAGCATGTTCTCCGTACGTCCTTTTGCCAAACACTAATAAAAATATACCCTGAGGAAGCACACATTATTGAGTCATTATACTTTGTAGTTCAGTCAATAAGGTGGACATGTTTTAATAGGGAAATTAACTTAAGAAAGGAAATAAGATGTAACAGTACTGAAAAATACCAATAATCTGAGCATGTCAGACATGTTGAGTAATCAAAAGCTAAGAAGTTCACTGGCATTGTAAAGCAGGTTTAATGTGAAATGGATTAAGAACAGAGTCAAAATAATGTTCATGAGCATACAAGCCTGGTCCAGAGTCTTGAATTAGCTGCCCACATTAGATGCCTTCTTCATTTTCCTAGTCAATTTGGGTCAGAGATCTCCAGCATCTGTACAGTGTCAGATGTCAGGTGGAGCTGTGAGCCCTGTACCCAAGGCTCGAGTCCCTGCCATTTGCCTGCCATTTGGGCAGTGAGTGAGGAGGACCTGACACAGTCTCTTCCAAGGAGATTCTAAGGCAGTTATTGTTCTTACTGATTTCCCATATCACAAGGGTGGGAGAAAATTAGTAATGTTAGCTTGGGGAGTCAAAGCCAGATATTTGAAGAAACTAAAATAATTCAGGATCTAGTCCAGCTTACAGATATATAACAAAACCTCAAAGACAATTAATAGGACTAGAATCTAATATAGACAAAGGTACAAACATAACTTCTCTCTCAACAATTACCTCAATTTTAAAAAATCAAAGTTCATGAAAAAACTAATCTGTTTAAGCTTGGCTTGATTATTTATATAAAAGCAGCAAAAATAATGATGGGCTATATAAACTTTTTAAAAAATGCTTTGTTGGAAGTTTGCTAGCACAGTACTAGGCCAATTTTTGCAAGCAGTTCTTTAAAGATGTGCAGTCATACCGGAGTCTATGCACCTATCTCGCAAATACTAATGTTTTAGTCAAAGCCTTGGCAAGGTGGCTAATATTTTAAAAATTGTGTCCTGTGACAAGGGGAACAACTTCTCACTGAATTTATGTAAACAGTAACACTATTGTTTGAATTCTAAAGGGATCAGGTAGAGAGGAAAGGTAAATGTTTCATCTTTGCTTACAAAGGTTTATCTTACCAAATTGTTAAAAGCTTAAGAGAGAAGGTTTCCCTAAATCTGGAAAAACAAAAGATTAAAAATAAGTAACACTTTAGACAAAAAGTTGTGAAAATTATAATCCACATTCATCACCTTGTTAATTACAACAGTCTTACATAATTCACACTTGTTCTGTTTGAGTACAATTTTTTTCATTTGTTTTGTTGACCTTGCCTGACTATCAACAGTGATAATTTTAAGCCATTTGTAAGGTTTTCATTAAGTCTTATGTAATTTGCCCAATTAACTGGGCACCTGGATATTGTGGAAGGTATGCCCTAAATGGGAAGCACATCAACATTTTGATAATCACTGTAAATGGCAGCTGAATGAAGTCCAGTTATAGATGTTCCAAAAGTCCAGAGTAAGGAGGTCTGAGGCCTCTGAAGACCAAGTTAGTCTTTCTTAAATGCACTAAGGTGAGTCAAAGAATACAAAAACCAAAAATGGTTTTGCCAGGGAGCTAGGAAGGACCAAGTGGCCATCCTGGGTTTCCCATAGCCCTCATTGTTGATTTCTGTGATTCAGGAGCAGACTGTTGTCACGTTACAAGGACATCGGGATGGCAAGAACGTGGTAATGAGGGACCATTTTTTGTAGAAGCAGAATATCCATCAATACATGTACCACGATCTTTATAGATTTTATTGTCCATTGTTGAAGATCTAAAGAGAATTCACTGCAATGGAACTTACAAAGTTTGGTTATTTTTGAAAACACTACATTTTGAGATAATAACTAGAATTACAAGTGACAAGTTGATTTGGGGAATCTTGTTAAAAATATTCAAAAGGTGGGGCATCTGAGTAGCTCAGTCCGTTAAGAGGCTGCCTAAGGCTCAGCTCATGATCTCAGGGTCCTGGGATTGAGCTCCGCATAGGGCTCCCTGCTTGGCAGGGAGCCCGCTTCTCCCTCTTCCTCTGCTTGCCTCTCTGCCTACTTGTGCTCTCTCTCTATATATGTCTGTCAAATAAATAAAATCTTTAAAAAAATAAAAATAAAAAAATATTCAAAAGGCTTTAAGATACTTGGTCAGATAGGATCATAAGTCATTGTGAAACAATACTCAGTTATCCACTTAACCATGGTGATAATTAAGGACTTTGCAGCAAATAGATAGAATTAACATAGTTATAGGAATCTTAACTCTTTCCGTAGAAAAGCCTCAGGGACTTCTCAGGACTTTCTATTAGTGGATGGACTCTAATACTTTGGGAACTGATGACCCCTGGCCAAAATTACTTCTCAGTGGAGATCTAAAGCCCCAGAAGAAACCTGCTGGACTGCCTTTGCCCAAAAGGGTGAGAATTTCCCTTCTTGGCATTTGAGGGATCCTTCTCTCCTTCTTATTTCTGCTTTTGGCCCTTTGGCAGGCAACCCTAGTACTCCACAGACTGGCCAGGGCTTCTTTCCAGTTCAATTGGAAGGTCTAAGGGTCAAC